TGTCGCCACATGTTCAGCGCTTCCCACACCAAGCTGCCAGCACACGGGTCAGACAGGGTCAGAGGCGGCCCTGGAGCTGGGACCTGGCCAGACTGGGCAGGGGAGAGAACGAGACACCACCGGCCTGGTACTCCCAAGATCCTACAGTGGCTTCTAAATGGTCTCTGGCCCAGGGGCCGGGCAGCATGGACGAGCAGCGCGGGGCTGGGTGGACAGCTCAGGGCACAGACCTGCCAGTGGGTAGATGCAGGGCCCGCTCCCCCAGCCCTCCTGGGTCAGGTCTGCTCCTGGGGTCGCCCGCAGTCCCCTGCCCAGGCCGGCCCATCCATGGGGGCACGTGAGAAAGCACAGACCAGCTCAGCCTAGCCTCACTCAGTTGGTGTTTAGGCCCAGCCCTTCTGGGGACCATGGGCAGCAGCAGCCAATCCACCTGTCCCCACCATCCCTGTAGGCATCACCACCTGTCTGTCCTGCCGGCCCCACGGGCACCTACAGAGCCTGCACACACGCCCGCTGGCGCTGCGGCCCGCCCTCTGCGGGGCCTGGGTGTCTGCCCCCCGCCAGGAACCTCTCCCTGGAGACCCCAGTGGCCCCAGGGAGGCTGCCTGCGCCCGGCCCTTCAGGGAGCTCATGCTCACTTCCTCCCCACACAGCCAGGGCGTGTCCCGTCCTGGTGGCAGGGAGTCCCCAGCACAGCTGTCTGGGTTGTTGGGCAGTGGCAGCACGAATGCTGTGCTCAGTAGGATCCTGAGGCTTCTCACGGGAAAGGGCGCTGTCTGGCTGGGCTGCAGTACTGGGGACAGTGCTCTATCCCACTGAATTAGCGACTCTTTCTAAGGGCCTCCCCCCAGTCCCCTGGGCTGACCTAGGAAGGACACACCCCATAAGTGCTAACAGTCCGGCACTGTCCTGACGACCTCCAGGCTCTCTCCCGAGGGGTGAAGGATCTGATCTCCTTCCTGAGGCTGCAAGGAGTCAGAAGAGGGCCCAGTGCTTCACCGTTGGCACCCCGCCCCCCCCCAGGCCGTGGCTCTGAGACACCCCCCCCCCCCCGTGGCCACAGCTCTGAGTCAGAGGTAGCCCTGAGACCAGAGCGGGGATGGGCCGGGGACCCTGTGGCGCCGTTCTGGAGTGTCCCCACCACTCACAACCGACCGCTGACTGACTTAGTATCACAATCCTAGCAAGCAGGGGACTGTGAGCCATCCATGCCAACAACATCGCTTCCCAGAATTTAATTCTGGACGTTTCTAAGCGTCGGTTTGACTTTCCTGAGTGTCCGACTCTGGCTCTGCTCTAGCCACCCTGGCTGGCTGGACGTTACCCTCCTGGTCCCGGGACAGCCCGTCAGACGTCCCCTCCTCTCCCACCCTTCCCCTCTCAGGTGCTGGTCCAGAGGGCATTACTCATAGCATTTCATCCAAGGGGCGGGTTGGGGCGGCCACCCAGGAGGGAGGGCGCGTGTCCCCAGCCCTCTCCTGTGGCTTCCAGCAGGGACGTTCCACAGGGTCCCAGCACACAGAGCAGCCCTCAGGATACAAGAGCTGCTGGAAGAGGTTTTAACAGCTCCAAGGAGGGGCACCAGGGGGCTCAGTCAGTGGAGCCTCTGCCCTCCTCGGCTCAGGTCATGATCCTGGGGTCCTGGGATGGAGCCCCATGTCTGGCTCCCTGCTCAGTGCAGAGTCTGCTTCTCCTTCTCCCTCTGCCTCTGCCCACCCCCTACTGATGCTCTCTCTCTTCTCTCTCTCTCTCAAATAACCTTTAAAAAAAAAAAAAAACAGCTTCCAGGACTAAAAAAAAGTGCCCTAAACTGCCTTAAAATGAGAGAGGTTTTATCAGAGTCTGGATCCCACACTAAACCCTCAAGACTTCTTTCCGGAAGGACTAGGCCTCGGTCTCTGCCTGCTGCACCAGGGTCCACCCCACACCAGAGGCTCCAGGATCTACAACTCCGGCCATAGGAGGGAGCAGCCGTGGGCGTGCCTGGAAGCCAGTGTAGACAGTAAATGAGCAGATTCTCCCTCGGGAGAGCCCAATCTCGGAATCCGAGAGCTCCTGACATGCTATGGGTGCTGAGAATTCTTTTTTTTTTTTTTATTCATACTCTTACACACAGAGAGAGGCAGAGACACAGACGGAGGGAGAAGCAGGCTCCACGCAGGAAGCCCGACGCAGGACTCAATCCCAGGACCCCGGGGTCACGCCCTGAGCCAAAGGCAGACGCTCAACCACTGAGCCTCCAAAGGGCCCGGTGCTGAGAATTCTGACTAACAGCTGGTGTGGCACCACGTGAGACCCTGCAAGGAGCCTCAGGCTGGGGAAGAGGAGCACCTGAGCCCCATCACCAGACCACGGGTGGGGGACAGTCCCACAGAGCCCACACTCGGGGCCTCCGCCCAATGGCCCCCAGGGTGCTTCTGACCAGACTGGCTAGAGAGAGGCAGCGCCGAGTGTGGGGTGTTGCAAACCATCTCCCTACCCCCTCCATGTAGGCTTTAACCTTCCTACTGCAAGCCCGTTCCTGGAAGAGGCCAAGTCCTGTGTGCCGTTGCCCCCGAAATGTGCATGTGGCCCCAGATGCCCGGCCTACTCCGGAAGCAGCAGAGCCTCAGTCCTTGGCCGCGGTGGGGGACTCCACACCCCATGACCCCTGGACCCGCTGGCCCGGTGCCCCATCATCCCCATCTCCCCACTGGGCAGTGGGGCAAACTCACCCTTTGTTTCAGGCTCTCTCAGGGGCCCAGGTTCCCTTTATTTCTATTTACTGTTTTCAATCCATCATTGAACTTTATTTTTCTTATTTAAATTTCAGTGACCACACAGAACAGTGTTGGCTCCAGGGGCAGAAATCAGGGATTTGTCACAGTGCTCCTCTGACAGGTGCCTCATGCGTGCCCATTCCCCATGCAGCCTAGCCCAGCCACCTCCTCCAGCCGCCCGCCGGGTGTTCTCTGTCTCACGACTCTCTTCCCGCTCTCCTTTTTCTTCCCCTTCCCCTGTGTTCATCTGCTTTTGACAAAACACTGTTAAAACGTCCATACTACCCAAAGCAACCTGCACATTTAACGCAATCCCTATCGGCGTACCACCAGCTTCGTTCACAGGGCAGGAATGATCCTAAAGTGCGTACAGGACCAGAGCCGACCCTGAACAGCCGAGCAGGAGGCATCACGAACTGGACTCCAAGGTCTATTACGAAGTGGCTGTGATCATCAAGACAGTGTGGTCCTGGCACAAAAACACGCAGAGCAACGGAACAGAACAGGGGAGACGTGGGCTCCCTTTAAAACAAGATTAAATGTGTTGAGGCCTTGCTGTCAGCTTCCCAGGACTTGAGTCCTGTCTTTTCCTGGAATGAGTTTCTCCGGGGACCCCACCTGCCCAGCTCCCTGAGGATCCATCTGGCTGCTCCAGGGAGAGCTTTCTCCTCCTCCCTGCGAAGGCCCTGATGTAACACGGGGGAAATGTGTAACGCTCCTGCGCCCATAGGGTGCATTCCTTACCTGGAAGGTTCCTGTAAGGCCACCATAATGGCTGGGAGCTCACGAGGGGCTGAGCACCATCCCCACAGCCTCAGGAGGGGCAGGTGCTCCATCCTGTCTGCTCAAGGACGGGGACTAGGGATTGACACGGATGCAGGAGGCCATTCCGCCATCCCTCCGCCCCCGGGGGGACACGTTGCCAGAGACAACTGTTCCCTATGTGCTGGTACCTGTGGTTCAGCCTTGTCTCTTCCCACCACCTCCCCTGCCCACCTTTGTCCCTCTCTACCTGTCTCACCTGCTGCGCCCGGAACACATCACTGGCAGCTCAGGCGCCACCCGAATACGCCACTGAACCGCAGGACTTTCAAACTTATGACAACCTTGGAAATCTTCACATTAATCTCCTGGCTCTGTGCCAAGGCAGCGATGCACTCAGATCGTGCAGACGAGCAGGGCCCCTTCCGCCTGGAGCAGCCTGGCTGCCGATGATGGCAGCCACCTGCTCTGGTGACCAGGGACACACCGTCCTCCCTAGACAAGCAGGAGCAGGGGCAGCTCCACCCTGCTGTGAGTTGAGATGATGCGCAGAACGTGGCACCTTGTGTGGCACGTGGGTCCTCGTCTACCTCGGAGGCAGCCACCCACTCCCACATTTTGCATTTTCGTACTGGTGGATGTGTCTCAACTCTTTGTCTCCTAGAAATAGAAAAACAACACATGTTGAATTAATGAAAAGGTCAAAATTTCAAACCCAAATAGTATTATTTCTGTGAAGCTCAGATCCCCTGTTGTGAGACGATGCTCTGTGGAGAAAGGTCTGTCAGTGACGCTCGGCCAGTGAACGCATCCAAGGGCATCATTACCTTTCCTTAGCGTTTGAAACCCTCATTGGATGCCTCATCTTTAAAGGCCAATGTAATACAACATTTATTAGTCTAATTTCTCATGACTCGAAAATTTTTTTTAAATCCTGTGCAGTTAAAATTAAAGCTTATATGCTTCCTATTTCAAAAACATTCTTGGAAACACCACCACAAGGGGATCCCTGGGTGGCTCAGTGGTTTAGCGCCTGCCTTCAGCCCAGGGCATGATCCTGGAGTCCCAGAATCGAGTCCTGCATCGGGCTCCCTGCATGGAGCCTGCTTCTCCCTCTGTCTGTGTCTCTGCCTCTCTCTCTCTCGCTCTGTGTCTCTCATGAATAAATAAATAAAATCTTTAAAAGAAAAAAAAGAAAACGCCACCAAAAAAAAAAAAAGAAGAAGAACAGTAAGTTGTAGCTTCTAATGGTGATGAGCATGGTCAGTAACCTAGATGGGGCCCTGACAGCAACATCTCAGGCCACGCTCCTGAACCGATGCACGCGGGAACTGCTGCCTGTCAGGCCTGCTGAGGGAGGAGTGTAGTCACCTCGACTTGGCCTCTTAGCCCAAAGCGAGCCCGGCTACAGGAGTGGGACAGCCTAGAGCGGTCACCTTGTGTCTGAGCTCACCACCATCTGTGTGTTGTCTGTTGCAGGCGCTAAGGAGATTGATATCGCCGCGACCCTGGAGCACTTGAGAGACCAGAGGCCAGGCATGGTCCAGACCAAGGTACTGTCCACCAGTCCTCGGGGGCCGTGGGGCCGTCAGGGGCGGCCAGTCCTCAGGGACTATGGGGTCACCAGGGGCAGCCAGTCCTCGGGGGCCGTGGGGGCATCAGGGGCATCTCTCTGAGGTTGCTTCCGAGCAAGGCAAGAGAAGGGGACAGGGGACTCCCACACGCTGGTCCCAGGCAGGACACAAGGGCCCCTCCTGGGAGGGAGACCAGTGATTCCAGCAACCACCCTCATTTCATCACAAACAGACACAGTAGAATCTTCACCCTGTGGAGCCTTCCCCCCACCAGATCTGGGAGGGGTGAGAGCATCACATCTTTATAAAAAGAGGTTGGTGATCGGGGCACCTGGATGGTGCAGTCGGGTAAGTGTCTGACTCCTGGTCTTGGCTCAGGTCAGCATCTCAGGGTCGTGGGATCGAGCCACACTGGGCTCTGTGCTGAATGTGGGGTCTGCTTGGAATTCTCTCTCCCTTTGCCCCTCCTCCCCTACATGCACTCACTCTCTTGCTCTCTCTCTCTCTCTCTCTCTAAAATAAATAAATCCCAAAAAAAAAAAAAAAGAGGTCAGCGATAAACCCCAGCACCTTGTCGTGGAATGTTCTAGATTCACTCATCATCCCACCAGCCTCCCCCACCTCTGGCCCTCGGAACCACAGCTCTGCTGTGTGGTCATCAGAGGTCCCCGCGGGGTCCTCAGGGCCTCCAATGCCTCAAAGTAGCTGGTCTGTATACTTAATGAAAAGGACTTATGTGCAACAAAAGTAAACACAAGATTGCGGGGTGGCTTTGGGTTACGCAGAGCTAGCAGCAAGGGTGGCATGATGTTCCTCCAGCGTTCAGAAGATCCCGCATCCACGTCTGTTCCCTGAAAGGGCTTAGCCATAAGATACCAGAGTCTTGTCTTCCTCAGGGTACTCCTGACGCCTGGTGCTGCTAACACCTGCACAGAAGACCAAAGTCAGTAGCAGAAGCCCTCGCCGAACCGCTACTTCCTGCCTAAGGGGACTTGAAGCCTTAAACAAGCGCTCCGGAAAGAGGAGCTGGCCTCAGGGCCCGAGGATGGGCTTTGGCCTGGTTATCCTGCCCCCGGGGTCTCACTGTTCCCCCCCGGAGCATACCAGAGGCCCCCAAGTCCCTCCCCTCTGTCTAAATCAGACATAACCCGGTCTGAGCTGGGTGGGAGAGGAGACAGCCAAATCCACACATTCTGCTGAGAACAACGAAGCCACGCACCTCATAGGGCTACGCTGCGCATTTTGAACTGGAACCATAGCTCACGGGGCCTTCCCCAGCACCATGTGCCCGCCCCATCCCCCCCCTCACAGGTTGTTATGAGAATCGCATGTGATTAGCCTGAAGACTTTATCGATGGTGATACACTTTGTTTTCTTAGGGTTTGTTTTTTAATTTGCAATTTTGTAATTATTTTAGACCTGCAAAACACTTGCAGAAATAATCCGCGTCATTGGCAGACGCCCTCTGTAGGCTCCCCCTGCCAGCGTCACCACAGGAGATGGAGGCCAGGAAGCCATCATCAGTATGAGCTACTGACTCAGGCATCGGCCATGTCCCAGCTCACCCGTGTCTCCAGTGAGCCCTTGCTGGACAGGACCGCCCCCCCATGCATTCCGTGGTCATGTTCTGCCCCCCAATGCATCTCCCTAGTGGGACGGCTCGGTGGCCTCAAGAGGTCTTGGAGAGCTGGGCAGGCATGGCTTGGGGTTGGTAGACTGCCCTGCTTGGGTTTATCTGACGTTCTTGTGATCATTCCAGTTGTTCCTGTTGGGCAGGAACATCCCAGAAGGTCGCACATGACCCTGTTTTCTCTCCTTGGATTGCTCGGCTCAGGAGGCATCCACCCAGTTACTCCTCTTGGTAATGGGCAGTGTCCTGCAGGAGAAGCTTGGCACCGCTCATGTCTCTCTGCTGTCCCGCTGTCTGACTCTGGTGACTCTGCAGGTGTCTCTGCAGGTGACTCTGCCTCAGTGACAACCTTTGGGTCTTGTGCTCACGGAGGGTCTACCCTGTACACGGACCAGTTGGCGGAGGCCCCGTGGGGTCCAGCACGGCAGGGTCTGGTCACCACCCCTGAAGGACTGGCCGCACCTGGTGGCTGAGATGGTGGTGGGAGAGCAGCGCCACCTGTCAGCAGGGGTGAACCACAGATCCTGCATCTGCCTGGATCCTGGTGCTGCCTGGGACTGTTTCCTGCTCTACTGACAACCTGCAGAAAACCTCAGGTGCCTCACCTCGTGCTCCCCGCCCCGGGGTGCGCCTCCAGCAGGCCTCCTACACCCCGGCCAGTGCAAGGATGCCCCAAACACACTCCGGGGTGGGCCTAGCAAACTACAGGGACGGTGCCTGACTCAGCACAAAAGCCATTCGGGCCTCTGGTCTGCGTCCAGTTTGATAAAACGGGCCCTGGTGCCCGGGGGGGGGGGGCCGCCAGGCCCTGCTGGGAAGGAAGATAAAGCTGTAGTCGTGACCACTGTGTGTCACAGAGCTGCTCAGGTTAGTGACTGACTGAGTGAATGACCAAACATTTGCGCTATAGCACCTTGGGCCAGATTACTTAGCTGTCGCTTGTCGCCCAGACAACAGAGCACCTGCCTCCCCAGCCTCCCTGCAGGAACCCACCCTCTCACTACGGGTAGGGGTTTAAAAGTTGTCCTACCGTGTGTGTGTAGAGGTAGTTCCCGAGATTTTCACATCAAAGCTGACATCCCATCCTAGTTTATGACAGCTTCACCCAACATGACTCCAGGACACCGAACTTTCCCTAAGGTTCAACTTAACAAAAGGAGAATTTCTGTGGGAAACGATAGTGCCGCACGGCCCAAACACTCTTCCATAGAAGCCAAGAGAAGGTCTCCCGTGGGCTGTTCATCCAAAACGGTGGTCAGGTTGCCCCACATGAAGGACAGATGGACCAGGACCCAGCGGAGCCCTGACCCCGGCACACAGCCTGACTGCACAGCCTCATCCGTATGTTCAGAGAAGCCACCAACAGCTGCTTTTCCCCCTGGACACAAACCCTTGGCCGAACAAAACATGGACATATCACACGTGTCTACCTGAGGACAGGCACGGAAGACACGGCCCTAGCCACGCAGCTGGCATCTGTCACGGGGATGAGACTCCAGCAGAAGGATGTGTCCCCCGGTCCCCATCGCCATGCATTTGTCAGCCTTGAGCATCCGTTGTCCACCGCCTGTGTCAGGGGACAGGCTCCCCCGACCCCCTGCAGGGCATCTCGGGAGAGGTGCCTCCTTAATCAAGGCCTGAACGCTCTCCATAACAACATTCCCTCTTTTACGTTGGTCACTCTTAAAAATGAAAGCTCATTGACCTGTGTGTCCCCAGGAAGCGGTGATGTCTGGTTGGCTGGGGTGGGGGGGATGCGCACGATGTATACAGGCAATGTCCATGCCCCCTGCACCTCCCTGGCTTGTTTCTGCATTTGGATTTCACCCTGTCCATGTTCCACTCCACAAGCACGTCTCCCTAAGGCTGGACTCACCTTCCTGGAGACAGGGCACCGTCCCACATGTGTTCACACCTCCCCATAGTCTGGAGCGGCAAGTACTGATGGAAATGAGTGTAATCCGGTGCAGAGCCCTTGGCCCCACCCCTCGCCCGCTCCATCACAACCCACCTCATCACTTTGAGATCATTCCCCTCCATCCCTCCTTGTGTCTGTCTCCCCTGTGCACCTACGTGTACATGTAGACGTACATATGCACACATACATGCATGCATACATACATGGATCCAGGTGTATAGACATACACGTGTGTGCACTTGTGCATATATGTGTGCATTCACATGTGCGCACCTGCATGTATGCACACACAGTCCTGCATTTGTGTGCACGTACATACACGTGTGCACACACTCATGCATGCACAGATGTGTGCATACATGCAGGTGTGCACATGCATACAGTTGTGCATCGTGTGTGTAATGCACATACACATGTGCACATGCGTGCAGTCATGTACATGCACACGTGTACATATACGCACTCATGTGTGCACATGTGCACATGTATGTACTCATGCTTACACACGTGCACACCCATGCACATGTGCACATGCGTGCACCCTATCCCTGGCCTGCTGTGCTAACACATGTCAAGGACGGAGCCAGGACTGGTCCCTGTGGAGGACGGCTGCCCCCGGGGAACAGAGGGCATGCTGTCTGGACCGACCTTATGGGAGAGGCAGGAAGTCCTGCCCCTGAGGGGTCGTTGGCCCTCCATGGAAGGCAACAGCCACTCGCTCTGGCTCCCCTTGAAATTGGGAACGATAAAAGTACTGTGGGTCCAGCCAGCCCTTTGTGCGAGCCATGAGGATCCAAACAGGAATCTGAGTGTAACTCTATATGCAAACACACACACACGCAGCCTGCCACCCCCAACACCTCCAATGACCCTCGCAGCCACCACCACAAAAGCACGTCAGGTGCGGCGTCTGCCCAGCCTTTCTTCGAGGCCCACCCAGACAACTGAGGGGCCAGCTCAGATCTGTCAGCGGAGGTGGTGCCACTGAAAGTGGGGGTGCCCGGTCTCCACCTGTGACCAGTGAGGCACTGGCACCACCACACCTCGGAACTACCACTCATGGAAATGTCTCGAGGCAGGAGCAGGGTGGCTGATGAGCCCTGACTCATCACCGACCGGCCCTGAGGAGCACCACATGCCTCTACAGCAGGCCTTTGTCACAAAATCCGCCAACAGCCGATGCACCCAGAGCCGCCCCCTGTGGCAGGACCCAGTGCCATGAAACCTGTGCATCCCAGAGGCCTATCCACTCCAGGGGACACACGATCAATACTGTAACAATTTAAGCCACGCCTCCTGTCATGTGTCACACATCCTGCGAACACACAGTGTCTGGATGATTATGATCAAGGCACAGGTGCAAGTCTGCCATCTGCTTTTGCCACTTGACCTTGTGGCACACACATTGCCTCCCTGCCTCCCCACCAGGTACTCTTGACAGCTGCATAGGATTCCAAGTGTGTGAATGCACATCTGTCTTCATGCTTGCCCACTTTCCCATAAACGTTGTCTTGGGATGGACTTCCGGTGTGTCTCAAGCTGGAAGCAGGCATATGACATATGACATGAGAGTTCCAGGGGGTCTCTTCATTTTTTTCACATTTCAAGTCATCACAAAGCCTTGGTCCACCCATTGGCAAGCAAGTGTTTTGGGAAGAAATGGTCTGGTGTGGCTGTTCACACATAACAAACCCGGATCCTCCAAAGGACACATCCCCTTGAACGAGCTGTTAGCTGGAGAGACGGTGGGGCATCTCTCTGAGGTTGCTTCCAAGCAAGGCAAGAGAAGGGGACAGAGGTCTCCCACACGCAGGTGCCAGGCAGGACACAAGGGCCCCTCCCAGGAGGGAGACCAGTGATTCCAGCAACCAACCACATTTCAGCACAAACAGACACAGTAGTCTTCAGCCTGTGGAGCCTTCCCCCCACCAGATCTGGGAGGGGCAAGAATATTCCGCTTTTGTGGGGTGAGCTGTGCACCAAGGCCCAGAGCATCAAAGAGTGATTGCAGGATCCCGGTGACACGCCGGGGCCATGGTGTGCGCAGTGTCCTCGCGTCCTCTTCTCATGCACATCTGCACAGTGTGAGCGCAGGGGCAGCCCCGAGGACCCTTCCCTCCTGGCCTTGGGCTCCACCCCTCGCAGCAAACCAAGGCGGCTGCCTCCCCCAAATGACACACACTGGTAGCTCTGGACATTTCTCCCCACAAAGGGGCCGGTGGTACGGGTGGGCGCTGTGGCTGGTCCTCTACCCCCCTCAGTGACCCCAGCCCCTGGTAGAGGCACTGTATTAGTCCATGCAGGTCATCACTTCAATGCCAGTGCAAGGAGCATGCCAGAGGACACAGCCTGTTGTCCCAGAGTGAGCACTGAATTACCCCACCGTTCTATTGTTTCTGCTACTTACTGGGTATCCACAGTGGACTTTGGTCATGATTTTTGGATCTGGAGCTACTCTGCCACTTGAATTGTCAAGTATTAAGCCATCAGTGGGGCTTTCCTTGCCCAGAAACTCCCAATCGATGATGGTGGCCATCATTTGCCAGTCCTGGGCTTCGCTGGTATGATTGAGATGTGCCCACAGCCCACCTGGAGTTTCTCAAGCAGCGTCGGGGGTGTCATGTGGCAAGTGTGTGCAGGCGAATGGTCTGTGACCCTCCCGTGGCTGAGGCCTCTGCTCCCAGAGGACAGAACAGTCCTGACACCGCCCTCATGTCTACCTCCTGGTCTTGCAGGGTTTGGCCTGAGGCAGCTGCCCTGTCCAGCGTGTGGCTAGGAGCACGCATGTGCACACGCACGTCTAAGGCTGGCCACGCCGCGGGTGAGGTGGGGTCTCCTGGCAGATGGAACAGGACGGGGCTGATGCCCGTGACAGCGAGGACACTACCCTGCTCCCTTTCCGAGGGGCGGCGGCATGGCGGGTTCCACGGCGGGTCTGCACGCAGCTGGAGGGGAGGCTGGAGCTCAGAGCGCCAATGTGGCATCTGCCCCAGGCCTGCGCTCCACCGTGGTCATTGTCACCGCGCAGTCAAAGGGTGCCAGGTGGGGGCTCCTGCTTGCTGGGGCCTCGGCAGCTCCTCCCGGTAATGAAAGATGAGCCTTTCCCACGTGACGAATTCTAATGGCCATCAACATGGGGTATTTTTTTTAAAGATTTTATTTATTTATTTATTCATGAGAGACATAGAGACACAGGCAGAGGAAGAAGCAGGCTCCGTGCAGGGAGCCCGATGTGGGACTCGATCCCAGGATCCTGGGATCACTCCCTGAGCTGAAGGGAGACACTCAATCACTGAGCCCCCCCAGACGTCCAACCCGGGAGGGGCCTTATCTTGCAAACCACTGCCCTCTCCTTTCTGTGGAGATACATGACCTATGTTGTTTTTGTTGTTTTTTGTTTTTCTGAACTATTTCTTTCTGCAGAATAACACAGCAGAGCTAAAGGGCGGAGCTGAGAGGAAAGTGGCTCCACTCACCTCTTCTTCCCTTTCTTGTCCCTCCAGGAGCAGTTTGAGTTTGCACTGACGGCCGTGGCGGAGGAGGTGAACGCCATCCTCCGGGCCCTCCCACAGTGAGCGTCCACCTCCACCACTGGCCAGGAGGACCCCACACCCCTGGCCGTGTCCTCGGTGCCCCTGCCTCATCGCCATCACCGTCAATGCAGTCTACCGGGTACAATGTGCATCTGTGTTCAACCAAATCATAATTGGGAGAGGTTTGTGGGATCGTCCAATCACAGGGACAGTCACTTTTTCTGTGTTCGCTTCCTTGAAAGAAAAATTACTTTTCCTTAAAGCACATACTCACCTTCTCAATTGCAAACTGTGTCGTAGCAACGACGCAGTCCAATGTGCCCTGGACTGTCTCCAGGGAGCGCTGAAGGTTGGGTCAGCTGTGCAGGGAGGGGACCCAGGGAAAGCTGGCCAGGCACCACCTGAAGGCCGAGGGCACCGCAAAGATGTGGCACTTGTCTTTAGGACGACTTATCACTGGGAGGAACCCCTGGCTTATTCAGGAGCTAGAGCAACAGACTGTTAACTGCTCTGCTGCTCTGGGATATATAATAATAAAACCGTCACTGCCCCCCCCGTGCTCCCCACGCTCCCCGACGCCCACTCCCGGCACTGTTGACACCCACCCCGGGATGGGCAGGGGCCCCAGGGCACCGCCTCGCAGGCCAGCCACCCCAAGTGAGGCCTCACATAGGCAGCCAGTCTAGAGACACACTTATAACTTTAAAATATGGGTTTCCACATTGCAAAAGCAGATGCAGCCAACAAACTCTTTCCTTGGGGGTAAGTAACCAGAATCAGGGGAGCCGGTCTGGCAGGTCAGAAGCTCCAGGGCCCCCGAGGAGCATGAGGAACCCCCGCCCCCATCAGGCACCTCTGCTGCCCTCCCAGGGTGTGTCCTGGGCCCTGTGGCTTCCAGAGCAGACCCTGGGTACCCCATTCCCAGGAGGAGACGCAGGGTGACATGTATTTTTCTGCTTTGCTGGGTGTGACATCATAGCACCAGGGAGAAAAGTGGAGATGGCAGTGCCGGCCCCAGGCTTCCTAGGTGACCCAGTCACCTAGGTCAGGCACTTGTGCAACTCGCACAGACACGAGTATCTAGGGGTGATTCCGATTTGCCCCCCACCCCCCAGAGACGGAGGAACTCATTTCCCTGGGATCGGGACGACAGTTTCCAAGAAGGCGTGCAGATAGCTCCGAATGCTGCAGCTTCCATTTTAGGAGTGGTTATGAGCACATCCCGGTCCCTTTCCATGTCCTGCTTCCTGCGCACATTCTCTCCACCCTAAATAGATTCTACGTCCCAAAAACCAGTAGCCTTGGGAGAGCGGCCTGTGCCTGGGGAGGAAGATGCCAAAATACTGTTTGTGTCTCTAAGTGGTACCGTCATGTCATCTGCTCTATAGATCTATAGTTTTTGCCAGAGTTGTTTCTCCCTATCCGGAATCTAAATAATGAATAGAAACTAATTTATCTGAGTATAGGAATCATATACCTACTTGTAATTTCTAACTCCTTATGTTTCGAGAGAGATCCTCCAGCGTGAGATATATGAATATATTTAATTGTGTCAGATTAAACTTTTGATTTCACACTTGAGTGGTCTTCATTTGGGGAGTACAGAGCAACTCTCCCTGCCCATCCTTTGCCCCCAGATGTTGGGGAGCAAGTACAGGCCTGAGAATATTCCGCTTTTGTGGGGTGAGCTGTGCACCAAGGACCAGAGCATCAAAGAGTGATTGCAGGATCCCGGTGACACGCCAGGGCCGTGGTGTGCACAGTGTCCTCGCGTCCTCTTCTCATGAACATCTGCGCAGTGTGAGCGCGGGGGCAGCCCCCGAAGACCCTTCCCTCCCGGCCTCGGGCTCCACCCCTCACAGCAAACCAAGGCGGCTGCCTCTCCCAAAGGACACACACTGGTAGCTCGGGACATTTCTCCCCACAAAGGGGCCGGCGGTATGGGCGGGGCGCTGTGGCTGGTCCTCTAGCCCCCTCAGCAACCCCAAAGACACAGGGCTGCATGTGTCAGCTTGTCCGGGAATTAGGTAATGGCTAACTGTGCCTGCCGGCGTGAGGCTCTCCACATCAACTCAAGCACTGGTGTGTGTTTCTCGAGATCAGCCCCCCAGGTCTCGCTGGGGGAGCACCCAGCTATAAGACCTCTTAGGCTCCCCTTTCCTGAATCAGCCTCGCGTTCAAACCCTGCCTGGGTGCAGACTCGTGCTCCCCACACACTGTAAGTTACTGACGCTGGGGTCACTGATGCTTCGCAGATGCAGGCATCACACAAGGGAGGCTGCTCACGCCAAGCACGTGTCTGAATGGGCACGTGGCAGGCTGCAGAGCCATGAAACGGCTCCCTCCCACCGGGAGCATGCAGGAATGCTGCACAAAATACTAATACGTGGCACACACCAGCTCTAAAGACAGGACATAGCGGGGACCGGGGATCGGTGTGGGCAGAGTGTGGACACCCAGCCGCACCAGGGCTGAGGGTTCAGAGCCGCCCACTCAGATCCTGCATGGCGGCCCTGGGAGGCGGCGTGTTCGAGAGCTGTGTCATCCCTACGTGTCCACTGCAGAGGTGTGCCGAGCTCGTCCTAGATCTGCACCTGCCAGCACAGAGTAGTAACACACCATGCCCCCTTCACAATCAGGGCCATGTAGCCCCGTCTTCTCCACCACCCATGATGATTGTCTGGAAGTCAACATAATGAGAGAAGAATCCCCAGACTGTCGCACCTGCTGATCTCTGTGATGGAAATACCCTCCCAAAGAGTGATTCCCATAAGGGAAGGGCAGGGAGTGGCCGGAGTGGCCGGAGACTCCAACACAGCTGCTGGAGATGGGGGAAGGCAGAGTAACTGGGAAGTGGCCCCTCGTGTGTGAATATAAATTTTTGTTTAACACAGTGTCATTTTGGGAGGATCCCTGAGTGGCTCAGCGGTTTAGCACCTGCCTTCAGCCTAAGGCATGATCCTGGAGTCCTGGGATCAAGTCCCACATCAGGCTCCTACATGGAGCCTGCTTCTCCCTCTGCCTGTGTCTCTGCCTCTGTGTGTGTGTGTGTGTCTCATGAATAAATAAATAAAATCTTTTTTTTTTTAAAAAAAAGTGTCATTTTAGCAGCTGTATTTAACAACCAGGTTGTGAAACCCCTTCCAGCTGGAACCAGCCAGCAGTGGCACATCCTTGCCCTGGGACCAGACAACCAAGGGTAGACTCTGGACAGTGGCCAGCGCAGCTGTCCTGCTGGAAGAGAAGGGTGCCATGAGAAGGTGTGGGGGCCGGGGTGCCCCCTACAGCACGGAAAACCCACACAGAACAAGTAGGGTTAAATGTGACATGAGCCCAGTGGAGCCCTCAGTGCCAAGCACCAGTGAAGGCAAAACCACTCGGTGGACAGCCAAGTCCCCAGACAGACATGCCCCAGGGCATCGCATGGCTCCCCACAATGACAAACACATGAGGACCAGGACCACAGCAGCAGAAACATCTGATACGGGGAGAGATGCAGGGACTTCTGATGGGGGAGAGATGCAGGTAACACAATACAAAAAGGCCATAAAAGGAGTTTGGATGTTTCAAATGGCACATGGGAATAGTGCGGGGGAAAGGAAGCAGATTTGAAAAAGAATCCAATGCAACTTCTTTTTTTAATATTATTTGAGTGGGAGGAGGGGCAGAAGGAGAGGGAGAGGGAGAGAATCTCCAGCAGACTCCACACTGAGCACAGAGGCCCCCCTCCACCCCTGTGGGGCTCAATCCCACGACCCTGAAATCGGGACCTGTGCCAAAACCATGAGTCGGCCGCTTTGCTGACCGAGCAGCCCAGGTGCCCCCCCAACAGCTTCTGGAAGTGAACTCCAGAGCAGCGATCATTTAGAAAGTGGGGAAGGCACGTTGAGGTGGTCCGAGCTGAGGTAGACACCTCTGCCTGGGTAGCAACAGGTTGGGAATAGCAGAGGACAGAGCTGGAGACCCCTCGTGAAACGAAAACATGCAAGAGAAGTCATGAAACGGGATGGAGCCCGCATTCTGGAAGGAAACAGAACGGGCATGAGGACTCCCTGCAGACCCTTTGCTCCAGCACTCAGCTGGCAGGCGACCCCACAGGAGCCCCTGTGACCCCAGGGCCCAGCCCCCCGCTGCTGCGACTCCTACTGGGGTCCATGTGATCACAATGGCACTTCCTTCTGGACTGACCTGAGATGTGCATCTCCTGGTCATGGGGAGCACTTTCCTCCCCCTGACCATATCCAGCACTTAGTGTGCACCAAGTGTATACTCTGGCAGAGGGCAGCTAAAGAGAACGATATGTGCACTCACCTGGCCCCAGACCCTCACCAGGGGGCAGTGAGCTCGGTGCTGGAGCAGGCAGGGCACAGTGAGCACTGAGTCATCCACCTTCCAGGAGGCTCTGCATTCACCCGCCTCCCCCCCAACCCCATTATGTCTGGGCCTTTCTAACCAGCCCCTCTCCACACTGTGGGCCTCACCGTTGAGCAATTCAGGGATGCATTTTTATGAAATTGTTGCTTGAGACTTTTTTTTTAAATAAAAACTGTTAGATGTAATTTTATAGAAAGGAAATGGAACAGCTGTGTGCTTCAATTCTATAATCTGAGCAATTCGGGAAACACGTCGTTTCTCTGTGCTCTGGGTACTGGAACCAGGGTCACCGCGAGTCCTTGGAAATACCTGTGTGCTCACAGGCACACCTGCTGCGGGGTAACGTCCCAGGACTGTAAGTGTACTGGGCTCACAGCCTGGCCGTCTCGTGCCACACTGAGCTCTGCTCCAGCCTGGCCTGCACCCCCGCACACACCCCCCATGGCCAGCTGCACTCCACCTTCACTGGCCGGACCCACGCGGCTTTGTCTCACAGGCAGCAGGGGCGTGTCACTGCGGGCACAGTCTGTCATCCTCCACTAAAGACCCACAGTCATGGGGGCTGGCGCAGCCCTGTCCACTGACCCCAAGTCCACTTGCCGCAGCACCCACCCAGGGCCAGGTCCTGTAGGGGGGCTGGGGCAAGTCCATGTGCTGCGCCCTGGCTGGCAGGAGCATCTGCTTCTGCAGTGTCCCAGGTGACCGCCACAGGTCACCAGGCCCTTCCCAAGCATCAGGGGTAGTCTCGGGGACTCCCCCAATGGGACCTCAGGTTTGAGTGTAGGAGGCTGTATGTTCCTTAGAAAGTTACCTTTGTGCATTCAGGGGCTCCTCGGGGACTCTGTCGCTGGCCAGCTGCCACGGCTCAGGTCATTATGCTGGAGTCCCGAGGCACAGCCCCATGAGGGGCTCCCTGCTCAGCGGGGCATCTGCATCTCCCTCTGTCCCTCCCCCCACTTCACGCACACTCTCTCTCAAAGTAATAGATAAAATCTTTAAAAATATATTTCAAAAAAGAAAAAGGAAAGTAGTCTCCATGCTCTCAGAGCTGCTCTGCGAGCCCTCTGCTCTGTCACTGTCTTTCTTGCCATTGTTCTCACATTCACTCCGTGGGGAAATGACAGTAATATTTTATGTGATCTGTGTTGTGTGCTTTATTAATCAAGTAGAACAGTAATAAAACCTTCGTAATTAGTGGAATAGGCATTAATTCAAAGATGTTTATTGGGATAGAAAATTAGAATTTGATGACACCTTTGTTCCTACACAGTGGCTGGGTTTCCTTTTATTTAGGGTATTTGTTTACGAAATGGCCTTGGCTGTTTGTTAGACATACAGCAATTTCGGGCAGGTGCCCTCGACCAGGGGCACCGTCCCCTGCTCGGTGCTGCTCCCTGGGGCGGGGGTGAGGGAGGGACGCAGCCCGCTGCTCCCTGGACACAGCCCCCTGGAGCAGGGCAGCCCCCGGTGATGCTCACACTGCGGCCAGGCGCAGGGCGTGTGCGGGGGCCTCACTGCACAGACACGCACGGGGACCGGTTCCCCCCCCCTCCCGGGAGAATCTGCAGGCCTGAGAACCACCTGGCACGGGTGGCCTGGCAGCCTTCAGGGTCCGTCATGCACCTTCTTGGGCTGCCAGGGTGTCAGGGTGAAGGAGGCAGGTGGGATGATTCTGCTCTCCTAGGGCCCTGCCCTCCCCTGCTCCCCACCCCCTCACACACACCTGCTCTGCACGCAGCCGTCTAACAGGTGTGCTCACATGCGTATACACCCGCCCCCGCACACCCCTGGGAGGTTTAGACACAGGGCAGCCCATCTCATGCAATCACCTGGAGCAGAGATGTCCCCTGCAGGGGCTCCAGGCCCCAAGCCTCTCTGGGGTGCCCGTGAGTGCCTCCCCTGCACAGCGCTGCATCATTCCTGGTATGAGGTCCCTGCACCAGTGTCCTGGAGAATGCAGGCACCGCAGGGCGGCTCCCAGGCTTCCTGCTCCACAGGCCGCTCCCTGCCTCCTCCAGCCTGCAGCTCCTGCAGCCCTTGGCCCCAAGGAAGGACTGGAACCAAACCACTGCCTGGAGGGCCCTGGTGGGGCCAGGGGGGTGGGTAAGGTGGGAGGAGAGGGTTGCTCTGCCCTCTGGCAATGCCCCCCCACAGGCCCCGCCCACTGCCCCCAGCACAGCCTGCCCTGCCTTCC